TTTCTGCTGCTGACAGGCAGAGACTGTTACTGCAGGCGTCCTGGGAGGATCCCTGCAGAGAGAGACCTTTCTATAAAGAGGAAGATCCTTTTAGTTTAACCACAAACAGTCACTGAATTACTGTCTTCAACGCCACCAGACTCCACTGATAAAATCAGTCCTTTTACCTCCACGGCCGCCTCGTCGGTTAGTGTTATTGTGTGACTTTGGGGTTTCTGACCCTTTAAAACGTGACAGATGCAGGCAGAGGCTGACCCCCCCGCTCAGTAAAATGACTGTTTTTATCACTGGAGTCTGGTGGCTGACGAGAGCTGATCTTTCTCTCTGCTGACTCAGCGTTTCCTCAGCGCCAACTCCATCACTGACTCAGCATGTGTTTGTTTATTGTTTATTCTGAGTCTAACTCAATAATAATAAACAATGACGTGTGTGTGTGTATTTCAGTGTGTGTGTTACAGAAAGTCAAAGTGCTTTAGATCAATTACAAACACACACGCAGACGTATATACATGTAATCAATATTCCACAATAAGCAGCAGCGATGGATTTCCAATAGCAGGATGGAACTGGGACGAGGAGTTCCATTAACACACACACCAGGTGGAAAAGGTGAAGCTCGGTGTGGAAATGTGTTGAAGCTTCAGCAGCAGCTGAACTTCTCTCAGACAGGAAGTCACTCACAAAACCACCTGCTTACAACAGCCAGGAAAACTGGTTTCTGACCTGTGGCCCCTCCCTCCTGACCCCACCTGTGGCCCTCAGCATGGTTCCTCGCTCAGTCAGAATCCTCCACCCTTAGCGAGCGCCGTCCTTCCTGTCACATACAGGCTCTGACAGAACCAGCTTCGTATTTCCAACAGGTCTTCGTGTTTCTCTGTGTGTAACCGTGCGACTGGATTTAAGCCTGTAAACTCTGCTGCTTCTTCTTCTTATTAGAAGGAGGCGGCAGGAGTCCCGAGACGCCTCGAGGAGGCGCGAACGCCGGTCACATCAGAGCCTTCACCGCATATCTCAGTCCCTCCCTCTGAGTCATCGTCCTGCTGCTTATGGACCTGCTCCACCTGTCCAGGTGTTTCCCCTCTACATCTAGCCCCGCCCAGTTTTCTCTCCTGCTGCTCCAGCTGAACCTCCAGACTCTTTAAATAACCTCGAGAGAAGAGAAGGTTTAATCTGACTCCAGCTCAGACAGGCGGCTCAGGGGCCCAGCCTGCAGGTTTTTCTTGGTTTCTCAGGAGCACCGAACATTTCAGTTTTTAGTCGGCTGCATCTCTGTCTGACTGGTGGCAGAAGGTGAGAGCCAATCAGACACAGAGAAGGGGCCCTGACACATTTATACTTGTTGGTGTCTGCATCGCTCTGCAGTTACACCGCCAAAACGCTTGCTGCCTGTTAGCCCTCCTCTAACTTCCTGTTGGCCCTCCTCTAACTTCCTGTTGGCCCTCCTCTAACTTCCTGTTGGCCCTCCTCTAACTTCCTGTTGGCCCTCCTCTAACTTCCTGTTGGCCCTCCTCTAACTTCCTGTTGGCCCTCCTCTAACCCTCCCCTCCTCTAACTTCCTGTTGGCCCTCCTCTAACTTCCTGTTGGCCTTCCTCTAACTTCCTGTTGGCCCTCCTCTAACTTCCTGTTGGCCTTCCTCTAACTTCCTGTTGGCCTTCCTCTAACTTCCTGTTGGCCTTCCTCTAACTTCCTGTTGGCCTTCCTCTAACTTCCTGTTGGCCCTCCTCTAACTTCCTGTTGGCCTTCCTCTAACTTCCTGTTGGCCTTCCTCTAACTTCCTGTTGGCCTTCCTCTAACTTCCTGTTGGCCCTCCTCTAACTTCCTGTTGGCCTTCCTCTAACTTCCTGTTAGCCTTCCTCTAACTTCCTGTTGGCCCTCCTCTAACTTCCTGTTGGCCTTCCTCTAACTTCCTGTTAGCCTTCCTCTAACTTCCTGTTGGCCCTCCTCTAACTTCCTGTTGGCCTTCCTCTAACTTCCTGTTAGCCTTCCTCTAACTTCCTGTTGGCCCTCCTCTAACTTCCTGTTGGCCCTCCTCTAACCCTCCCCTCCTCTAACTTCCTGTTAGCCCTCCTCTAACTTCCTGTTAGCCCTCCTCTAACTTCCTGTTAGCCCTCCTCTAACTTCCTGTTGGCCTTCCTCTAACTTCCTGTTGGCCCTCCTCTAACCCCCTGTTGGCCCTCCTCTAACCCCCTGTTGGCCCTCCTCTAACCCCCTGTTGGCCCTCCTCTAACTTCCTGTTGGCCCTCCTCTAACCCTCCCCTCCTCTAACTTCCTGTTGGCCCTCCTCTAACTTCCTGTTGGCCCTCCTCTAACCCTCCCCTCCTCTAACTTCCTGTTGGCCCTCCTCTAACTTCCTGTTGGCCCTCCTCTAACCCTCCCCTCCTCTAACTTCCTGTTGGCCCTCCTCTAACTTCCTGTTGGCCTTCCTCTAACTTCCTGTTGGCCCTCCTCTAACCCCCTGTTGGCCCTCCTCTAACTTCCTGTTGGCCCTCCTCTAACCCTCCCCTCCTCTAACTTCCTGTTGGCCCTCCTCTAACTTCCTGTTGGCCCTCCTCTAACCCTCCCCTCCTCTAACTTCCTGTTGGCCCTCCTCTAACCCTCCCCTCCTCTAACTTCCTGTTGGCCCTCCTCTAACTTCCTGTTGGCCCTCCTCTAACCCTCCCCTCCTCTAACTTCCTGTTGGCCCTCCTCTAACTTCCTGTTGGCCCTCCTCTAACTTCCTGTTCTAGACGTGTGATCGATTGAATGGATCCAACTCAGTGAAACGAGTCTCGGGGGTTCCACCGTTTTACAGCCGCTAGCCAAACAGGAGCGAGTTCAGTCTTGACACGTTTACCACAGGTTCGCAACGCTTTCGTTTGAACGTCACGTTTCCTTGAAACTTTGCGCAACAGGCTTCTGAGTGTGTTTTCTCCCGTTTGGTGGGCGTGTCCCAGGTGAATCCCAGGAAAATTTAGCGCGCTTCTGTTCGTTTGTCGGGCTGATCTCGCTGAATAAAGTTGTGGCCATTTTTTGTTTGTGCTGCTCTTCAAATGAAGACAAAGATTTCCAGGTTTCCTGCTCAGTCACTGACAGAAGGTCAGAATGTTCTGAGGAGGAGCTAAAGGAGCGCCGCTAAATGACAAATGAGAGCGGTTCCTGCTGAGACTGCAGCCTGGAGAAAGTTACCTGATGAACTCTGCTTCAGCACAGAGTCAGTCGCGTCGTGGTTAGAAATTCATTGTTAAAGTAAATATAAACGAATGCAGAAAGTTGGTCTGGATCGTCGGCACAACAGAATACTGAACTTGAGACGACGTTGCAGTGATGTCAAATCATTTTCAGAATACAAAGGGAGGAGAGAGCGCTGACCTCTGACAACTCACCGTGAACTCAAACGTCAGCTCGACCGACCGGTCTTTAAACGCGTCACCGCACTTCTGCTGCTGCTGCGTTCAGGTCACATCACAACTACCGTAACTATGAGTTCTGCTGAAGGGGACGTTCCCTTCATCAACACTCTGCACAGATCACTGAGCGCTTGCTCCTGATCAAATAATCAATATTTAATATCGATATTGATGGTGACAGACTGCCGAAATCAGAAATGATCAACATGTTTAAATGCACTTCTTTATTGTCCGATCTATGATTGATTATTCTGCTGATCACTTTCTGTCATTAGTCGTTAGTATTGTTTTCTGTCAGAAGAAGAAAATTTAAGTGATGAACTGATTTTTCTTTCCACTGACTCATAAATAAGTCACTCTTTATTTCTCCAGCTTTAAACAAACACAATCATCACTGATCAGTGTGATTATTGATCAGCTGCTGATTCACTCTCAAACTCTTTTCTATAAATCAATCAATAAATAAACCTCCATTTTCTCTCCTTGATTATTCACCTGAATCAGATCCAACTGACAGATCAGGATATTGATCAACATGTTTGACACCAGCTGCATCATTTCCATCATCACACAACCATCAGCTACTGATCACTTGATTGATGCAGGATGTTCTTCCTTCACATATCGATCCTTTATCACATAACTGATCACACAGCTGATGCTTTCATTACTGATTATTACAAAGACCTGTTTTATTGTTCTGACTTTAATGTTTATTGATCACTGATCGTGCCGTCCATCATCATGTGACTGAAATGTTATTTCTGAACATTTGCTCACAAATCACATGTTGGACAACTGATGGGATTTCTGATTGATAACCTTCGGCCCATCGATCCCAGCGGGAGGAACAGTTGGGCCGCTTCTCTCACAGGACCCGTATCGATCCGCATCGGTTCTCCTCTTCAGCACATGGACGGACGGGGGAAGGCGGATTCGGTAAAACACAGATGGATATGTGGCGCGTGAGCTGCGGGCAGATCCTGCGGTGCGTCCCGCAGCTCACGCGACGTTTTCACGCCTTTTCTGCGTTTCGCCTGCGATTTTAACCGTTTTTCTGCTGCCCCCCCCACCCCCCTTTGTTCTTCTTTAATGGATCGGCGTCTGGAGCCTCGCTGCCTCCCAGACCCCCTCCTCTCCTCCGCCTCCACCTCCACCTCCCCCACCGCTCTGCCCTCCAACACACGCAGAAAAACACGTTTGCAGCCACAAAACGTTTCTTTACGCTCCAATTTAACCGTTTAAAAGACCAACAACGCAGCGCGCGCGGCTCCGCTCGGTGCACGGACACAAGCCGACCGTGGTTCCAAAATACCCCGAGGGTAAGAGCAGCCCTACCTGGGGTATCAACCCCCACCCGGCCCCGCATCCTCCCCCCACACTCTGCGTGGAAAACAGTAAAAAGGGGAAATTTCCACGCGTAAAAAAACAGGGAGCCGGAGCAGCAGAGGAGCGGTGATGCGGCGGGGAGGCGAGGCGTTTTCCCCCCAAACATCCACACACATACACCCCCCTTCTCCACCAGCACCACCGCGCTACCTCCAGATCTGCCGCCGGACCAGCAGAACTCCCAGCCCATCCACCCAAACACACACGGAACCCTCCGGACTTACCTGCACGGAAACGCGCAGAAAGTCCAATCAGTGATTTAAATCCACAGTCCCACGCGCTGCCGCTGCTCCTTTCTTCTTCTTCGTCTCCTCACATGAAACCTGAGTGAGCTGGGCTCAGGTGTGGGCGGCGGGAGGAGTCCGGACAGGTACAAATGTCATGCGCTCACAGGAGAAATAATAATCCGGAGCAGAAAGAAACACCGCGGCGCGTCCATCCACACACAGCCTGCCTCGGCTCGGCTCGGTCTGCTCCTGCTCCGCCACAGCCAGCCCCCCATCGGGACCATACCACTCTGCACCCGGGTGGGAGGGGGCCGGGTCACTTAGAGGGGGTCAATCAAACCAATTAAATAACGATTAATCGGCTGATTAGAGATCAGCCCGCGACTGATGGTGTCTGTTTGAATATAAATAATTAAATATGATATTTAGATGTGATGCTGAGACAGAGGAGGCGGTGTGTTAGGAGGCTGCAAACAGCTGGTCCCCCCTATAAAAAGCGTTCTTGGTTCAATCCAGCTCCTTAATCTGCTGTTTTTCTCCTCCTAAAACCAGATGTGGAGAGAGAGACTGAGAGAGAGAGCATGACTCACAGCCAGAGAGAGAGAGCTTCAAATATATATATAGAGAGAGATAAAGCTAGAGATGCATGAACAAAATATGGAGAATATAAAGGCAGAGAGATGGAGGAGTACAGAAAAACGTAGGACAGTGACGGAGAGAAGGTAACGAGGGAAAGAAAAAGAATAGAGGAAAAGAAAGGTGGAGGAAAGAAAACAGAAGCAGACCTGTAGATATGGAGGGAAGGAAATACACAAAGAAGAAAGAGAAACAGACAGATGGAGCAATAAACAGGATGACCGAAACAAAGAAGAACCAACAAGCAGAATAATATTTCCACTCACAAAGTGACGTCACGCTTTAACGTTTCCTCTCTGCAGCGATGTAAGAGCGCACTGTGGGGTGTGGTCAGTACACTGTGACATCACTGTTGGGTGTGGCCAACCACAGCTCTCCTGATGCTGCCTGAGGACAGACTGAAACGTTCAACAAGAGAATCAAGACACTAAATCCATTCCTCGTCTTCTAGACCAAAAACAAAACGGAGTCTGCAGCTGTTCTCACTGGGGCTTCGAGCTAAATGCTAACAGTAGCATGCTAACATGCTGGTGTTTAGCAGGTATAATGTTCACCATCTTAGTTTCAAGTGTTGGCTTGCTAACATTAGCATTATTCAGCTAGTTTTAACTGCTTTGTATACAGTTAGCTAGTTTTAACTGCTTTATACAGTTAGCTAGTTTTAACTGTTTTATACAGTTAGCTAGTTTTAACTGCTTTGATATACAGTTAGCTAGTTTTAACTGCTTTGATATACAGTTAGCTAGTTTTAACTGCTTTGATATACAGTTAGCTAGTTTTAACTGCTTTGTATACAGTTTACTAGTTTTCACTGCTTTATACAGTTAGCTAGTTTTAACTGCTTTGATATACAGTTAGCTAGTTTTAACTGCTTTGATATACAGTTAGCTAGTTTTAACTGCTTTGATATACAGTTAGCTAGTTTTAACTGCTTTGTATACAGTTTACTAGTTTTCACTGCTTTATACAGTTAGCTAGTTTTCACTGCTTTTAATACAGTTTGCTAGTTTTAACTGCTTTATACAGTTAGCTAGTTTTAACTGCTTTGTACACAGTTTGCTAGTTTTAACTGCTTTATACAGTTTGCTAGTTTTAACTGCTTTGATATACAGTTAGCTAGTTTTAACTGCTTTGATATACAGTTAGCTAGTTTTAACTGCTTTGATATACAGTTAGCTAGTTTTAACTGCTTTGATATACAGTTAGCTAGTTTTAACTGCTTTATACAGTTAGCTAGTTTTAACTGCTTTGTGTACAGTTTTCTAGTTTTAATTGCTTTATACCGTTAGCTAGTTTTAACTGCTTTATACAGTTAGCTAGTTTTAACTACTTAGATACAGTTAGCTAGTTTTAACTGTTTTGTACACAGTTAGCTAGTTTTAACTGTTTTGTACACAGTTTGCTAGTTTTAACTGCTTTATACAGTTAGCTAGTTTTAACTGCTTTGATATATAGTTAGCTAGTTTTAACTGCTTTATACAGTTAGCTAGTTTTAACTGCTTTTTATACAGTTAGCTAGTTTTCACTGCTTTTAATACAGTTAGCTAGTTTTAACTGCTTTGTATACAGTTTGCTAGTTTTAACTGCTTTGTATACAGTTAGCTAGTTTTAACTGCTTATATATAGGAAGTTAGTTTTAACTGTTTTGTATACAATTAACTAGTTTTAACTGCTTATATATAGTAAGCTAGTTTTAACTGTTTTGTATACAATTAGCTAGTTTTAACTGCTTATATATAGTAAACTAGTTTTAACTGCTTTTTATACATTTAGCTAATTTTAACTGCTTTGTATACAGTTAGCTACAGTAACTTTCTTTCCACCACTCATTTATGTAGCTGGTTGGTGGTCACGATGGGGGTTATTTTGCTATAACCAATCCACAGGGACTGATACAATGGACAGTCCAAAGATCTTGGTTTAAAGAGGAACTTCAGCCAATTGCTGCACGCAGTGGGTGTGACTGTCACCCAGAAAATTACTAAACTAGTTGGATGCAGTTTTTCCCAGAAGAGAAACAGATGGATACATATGTAGGATATTTTTCAGTAGCCCTGCTGACCATCTCAAATGTCCTGCACAGTCAGAAGGTCATCAGAGTCAGTGGAGACGCTTGCTAACACTAACGTTAGCGCGATTACACGATGTTTATTTTTTGTCAAGTAAAATAAACTACATTCAAGTATATTTTCCAAAAGTATATTGTGTTTAGTATTTTACTTTCAAGTAGTACAAATCTATATAAATTAATTAAGAAATTATTATTATATTGCTTCTATATTTTTGCGCAGTTCTGCTTACCAAAATAGTAAACTTTTAATGAGTTTAATAAAATACATCTGAATCTAAATGAAAATGTAATTTTATTCTCTAAATGGTATTTTGTAAAAATACAATTAATATATTAATTATTAAGAATGTACTTTTAAACTGTAGTATTTAAACTAACATTACATTAGTACAGGCACTATTAGACAAATTTGTTTTCATTAAATATTATTGTAATGTAAAATGTACAGAGGGGTACCCACCTGCCACCCCCTGAGTCTGAGCCTCTGCACACCTTTTTATTTACTTTATTTTATTATTCAGAATGACACTGACATTGTTGTTGCTTGAGTTAACAGGAGCTAACCTGAGAGAGAAGATATAAACTCGCCTTCTTTCACACAGCTAACCAATCACAGCATGACGTGGGCCTGAATGTCAGATTGTCGTTTACAGAGAGTTATAAACGTGCTTTTTGACTTCCACGTCATGTCCCAAAAACTTGAGACTTGACTTGATCCAAAAGACTCAGAAGCAGAGCTAAAGTAAAAAGTTTGGGTCTCATCAACACGTCCTTACAAACTGATCATCTGCAGCTAACAGAGGTGAAGTGAAATCTGCTGTCAGTCTGACTTCAGCTGTGGTCCAAAGCAGCAGACTCAGTGTTTCCAGCAGCTGGAGTCTAAAATAACCCTGACCCGGGGCTGGGTTCAGGTTCAGGTTTAGACTGGGGTTAGATCCTGCATGGCTCTGGGCTGCAGGCAGGAGGTCCACCCTGTAATCAACTCTGCGTTTGACAGTTCTGGTTTTGCCTTCGCCCTCTTTTTCTCTGTAATTTTCTTAATTGAAGCCACTCGAGGGGTCTAGCCCTCTCCTCTTTTCATCTCTGCTTCTTTCCACTTCTCCAATTTCCTTTATTCTTTTTCCTTCAACTCTGTTTCCTTCATTTCCTTTAGTTTGTCAAGACAACTTTTAAAGCCCAACATTGCAGCACACAAACACTACGTCTCTAGAGGGAACATTTTAAAGTTAATATAGATGCCAGCGATGTCTTCCCTTCCAGTGAAGAGCTGAAGCATCAGCTGTGTGGAGCGATGAGGAGGCTGCGACCTTCATCACATTAACACATGAAACTAACAGAAACGTCTGATGTCGTCATGTCTCTGTGTGGTTTTCCATCGTCTGACGTCACCTCGCAGTGTCCGCTTCTTCTTCTGCAGTGGCAGCTCCACCAGCTGTTTATCTCCAACAGCCAATGAGTGTTTATTTTCATGAGTTTCTGGAAATTAGAATTTGAATGGAAACTCGACTTGTGAGGAGATTTACACCTGTATGTTTCTCTCTCTCTCTCTCTCTCAAAACATTTTTCTCTCCCCCTTCTCTCACGCCTCAACCCCTCCCACTCTCTCTCTCTCTTTCTCTTCTGTGTAAATTGATCCCGATTGCCCGTTAATCTTTTTAAGTCGGCGTGAAACAGCCTGCAGCATGCATGACAATGGCCCTCTGTGTGTGTGTGTGTCTATATGTGTGTGTTTGTGGTTGCAGGCCTACTGTATGCTTCCTTCTTTACATCCCTGCTACTATTACAAAACACATCTGGACCCTGTGAGTGTGTTTGTGCATGTGTGTGAGTGTGTGTGTGTGTGCAGCTGTTAAATCCTGCGTTTACGAGGTCGAAGCCGCAGAGCAGAACAAATTCTCTCTGTTTTTATTTATTTTTGCTTCTCTGAGGTTTATCTGATATCCAACACATCTGTATGTGTGTGCGTGCATGTTTGTGCATGCGTGTGTGTGTGTGTGTGTGTGTGTGTGTGTGTCAGACACACTTTTTTAATAACCAAAACCAAAACAGGCTTTAATCTGAAAAGCACAGCTGATCACACTTGTTCCTTTTCACTTCCTGGAAACACAATCTTGTTTTTCCAGCAGTAAGATGTTTCAATCAGAATGAAAAAAGTATTCGTCAGAATCAGAACCGGCTTTATTGCCAAGTAGTTTTTGCACTTTCAAGGAATTAGTTTTGGTTACTTGATGCATGACAATAAACATAAACCTATATAAATGTAAAAATGAAATTGACAAAATATATTTTATATAATTTATAAGTTATAGAATAATATGACTACATGCAATATGGCATTTAACTATTTACATGTGCGTACAAACTCGGATATATGTTTGTGCAAACATTAACAGTGTGTGCTTCAGAAGGGAGGCTTTGGGGTCATGAGAGTCAGTCGGGGGCTCGGGCCTTGTTGATGAGGCTGCAGACAGAAAGAAACTGTGGCGAGAGGTTTTGGTCGTGAAGGACCGCAGTTTGTTTCCGGGGTGGGAGGGGTCAGCT